AAAAAAAAAAAAAAAAAAAATAGAGTCAACTCTCACTTATTAAAACATCACAATTACAGATATTGTAAATATTAGTAAAAAGATGATGTAAAATTTCTGAACAGGTTTGGACCTATGAGATTGTGAAATAAAAGAATTCCAAGCAGAAATGATAATTGAAACAAAGGCAAGGAAGTCAAATGAAGGTGGAAGTACACAGAGGAATCCCTAATTTTGATTGGGCTGTTTAGGAAGAGAAAACTTGAAAATAAATTCATAAAGATGGCTTGTATTATCGCATTTAGTAATTTGAATCCAGGTGAAAATCATTAAATAAGTTTTTGTTAGTGATATCTAAGAAAATATATGATCTTATCAGAGTGGTACAGCAATAATCTGGTCATTATATGAGGAAATGGGTGTCATTCCCAGTCTGAGGCACTATTGATGAGAAGGAATGGGCAGGAATAGATATCAGGCATATTGACTAGAGAGTGTGACTATATTATAAGGAAGTCTGTTATTATAAGGAAGAGTGGGAATAAATTAACACTGTTCTTTTCAGTATGCTTATTTATAGATCATGGGATATTTACTGAAATTAAAAAATATTTATCTCCTTGTATGCTGCACAGAGATGCATGCAATAATTTTGCCCTTCAATTTTAATTCCAACAATTTTGTTTTGATCAACAGGGTGCTTCAAGGTACTAAGTCAATCCAGGTCATTTGACTAACATCATCAAAATCGATGCACATTTTTTTCTGATTGCTAAAATTTCTTTCTAATAGTTTTAGAGAGCAATATCCTTTTATACAACAATGACTTCGAATCAGTGATAATCTATTTCATTATTCAGGCACCCAGATGGTACACAGAGAAATAGCACAGGATGGCCGGTCTTCAAAAGCACTGAACAAAAATACTTGACCTTGAACACAGAATCATCAAGAATATGCACTAAACTACGTGCTCAACAATGCCAATTTTGGACACTATTTTTCCCCAGAGTCTTGGAAATGACAGGTGAGTGTGGTACGTGTACACAGTGTGTGTCACATTTCAATCAATAGATTATGGGAGATAGAAAAGAGAAAAAGATAGACTATTCGAGACATTATCTGAGTTACATTAACAAACGTATCCGTTGATGTTTCAGTTACTTGATTCTAAGGAGTACATTGATTTTATTTCATTTTATTTTTATTCGTACATGTTTGCAATTTACCTTCGTTGTATGGAGTTAGTAAATGTACGTAACACCTATTAATTCTTTTTTAACCCTTTTCCTTTCTCTTCCTCCTCACTCCCTCCATCTTATTATCCCCTCCCTGTTTGAGAAAGATCTATCTCTCCACATCCTATCATCGATACGATACTATTTTAACAATTTTCTTCAAGCAAGTTTAGATGTGTTGTTAGTATAGAAGTACTTTAGCAGCTAAATTTTTAAAAAATGAGATTTGCATTTCATCCAGAAGGAACAAGAAATCTGTATGGAACCCTACTTTTTATTCAGCCAATCTTTGTGGAGTTAATTAATAGATAATTGAGTGAATATATGATATCATACATAAAACTTTGAAATAATTATTCAAAAATAGGTAAAAAGAAACTTATTGATAAGTAGCAAAATTCGTGGTCTGCAGGGAAAGAAGAGCTCTGTAATCTACATATTTAAAAACACAATATAGATATTTCCAAGTACTCTGAGTTGGGAGACATGTAACTAAGAATATACAGATATTTATAAAATACATAGCATACCTAAAATTTAGCTAGATTATATTCAGAGTGTGATTGTTTAAAATTATATGAGAAGATAATGGGAAATTGGTTCAAATTATCACATGACGTTAATATTCAAGTCTAAAATTTCATCAATTTGAGTATTCAAACATATATTGACGTACATCATCTTACTTTGCTAGTCTCTGAGGAAAGTAACATACATATGAACTCAGTGCTCAGCCACTAAGTAGCCAGTTACTCATTTATCATTTACGTGGTTCCTCATATCCATTTTCAACTTTTATTTTTTGAAATGCATGTAATTGACTCAACCATCGGGTTTATTTCTGGCCAGTTCCACCATCTTGGCCATCACAGCATTCTGTGATTTTCAAACTACATATTAGATAATAAAACATAGTGTAGTTTTTAGTTTCTTATTTGCATAATTTGGGTATTACTTTCAGACAAATAGGAGTGTCTTGGAGATGCTTTACATTGTTTAATGGGCCCTTTCTTATAAGAAATTATTCACCAAAGATAATCTGTGCACTCTGTTTGCTTGGGTGCTGCTTCTGGTACACCAGTGCTCTGTGTATTGCCGAGTGTTCTGTGACATAATACATATCTAGAAAGGGGTTCTTGGCAGAGCAACAGTGAAAGTCTTTGTATTTTCTGGGTGTGAAGAACAATGAGCTAACTCATTTGATCTGCCAAAAGGTCCAAGGAGATGCAATTTAACATATCCCAGGCTGCATATTCTTAGTCTATATTTTCAAAAATTTTAAGTAGGAAGGTTCTAATTTGAACTAAAATTAAGAAAGAAAGAGGAAACTGATTATCTTTAATGACTTAGTCATTATAAGTCAAACAGCCATGATTCTAACAAGTTTTTCTATGGCAATTTTGTCACTAAAATGAAATTTGAATACCAGAAATTGTGGAATATTGGTTTAAAAAACACATACCATCAAAACTTACCTGTCAGAAACAGGTTGATCAAGTAAACTGCAAAGTTTTGGGCCAGCTGCTGCTATTTCAGATAATGCTTCACAACTTTCTAATTGAATATTGAGCTCTGTAAAAAAACCATAACTTCTTTTGTTCTGGGACTATGCTGAGGTTAGTTCCGATGTGGACTGTAAACATTATTTTGTATTAGAATGCTATTTCTCTTTGATATTATTCCCTCATCAAAAGGTTATCATAGTAACATATTTTATATATTTTAAAGTAAACACAAGGTAAGATTATTATAAACATGCATTCATTAATAAAATATTGTTAAAATTTAAACAAAACTAGTGTGAATTTACATATTTATATATGATTGGGTGGTTAAATAGATTAAGAACATATTCTGCTGTACCTTATAGTTCTCACATCACAAAGTTTAAGATTTTCATCTTTAAAGTTTTAAAAATTGGTGCTACTCAGGTAATTCAGGGTAAAATTCATAAGATTTTTTTTAAGGTAGCTCTACAAATGAAAGTTTCAAAGAATTACTTCTGACTGTCTTTTAAAAAAATGTTTACTTAAGATAGAACCACAAAAGTTTTATAAGTACTATTTAAGCCATAGTATACTCCATGATCTTTAAATAAATAATAGAAATTTGTTGCTGACCAAAATTGAAGAAAACCAAACATAAATTTAAGAACGTGGTACTCTTTGAATTGGCCACTTTGTAGAGTAATTTACTATTGTTTCACAATTTATTAACAAGAGTGAGAATTAAAGATGAGAAAGTAGAAAGAGGATTTGGAAAAAATGAAATTAATTTTATCTTAATATCTATGGATTTTTCTATCCATAATTACAAAAATAACAAAACAAACAGAAAGCTTTGGGTAACTCGGTCATTAAATCAAATCAATAATTTATATCACTTTAATAGTAGAAGTTTTCACAATGCTCAGCCTGAGTTTAAAGCAATTCCCTCTACCATCTCAGTCTTCACTCAAATTTTAACAGGAAAATTAATAAAATTATGTTGTGGTTATTAATTCATGAATGTATTGGCTTTCACTGCAAAAGTTTTATGTCTAGTTGCCTTAGACTTTGTGGAAATATTCTATGGCTTTGACCAAATAATTTCCCTTGTGAAGTTATATCTTTCATTCAAATAGCTACTTTTGCTTCCTCGTTTGTATCAAGAATATGCTAACTTCTCTTATCTTTATTTTATTTGTACTTTACATTTTATCTATGTTTTATTCCAAACGTATTCTCAAAGTGCTTTTTCTTAATACATTGTGAAAGTATTTAACATTAACATTTCCTCTAAATGTGAATTGTCATTCAAGAATCGATAGAATGAGTTAAATTCTACAAAAAGAAATATATCTCTCAATATTTCTTTAATATTTGAACAGTACTTTTATTTCCTATGTTTCAATGTGATTCTCTTTAGAAAAGGAATAATTGTAACTGCAAGTTTTGTAAATATTGAAGTTTTATATTTTTTTATAAATTGTTTACATTAGTATCTGGCCTTGATTGTTCCTATGCCTGTTTTTTATATTATCAATCTTTATTTTATTCTTACGTTTATATTTGTACTATGTATTTGTCTCTGTTCTTTTAATTTTTTGCATTATTTTACTTTACATGTATTATTAAAATGCCACAAAAGAAGGCAATGGATAAATAGAATTTGTTTCATCCTTAATGGTATAAATGAAAATAAGATACTTTTTTATACATGTAATTATATAATATGAACATTATACGTTTGAATAGGGAGGACTTTAAATACTCTACATAAAAATTAGGAAAAGATAGTTGGTTGACAATTCGTGAAAACTTATTAAACCATAATATATTATGATGATCTTTCTATTATGTTACAATATCCAGACCATACAATATTATCACTGGAAAAAGAGAAAATAATAATAATATTAATAAAAAACTTTCTACAAGTTCAAATTTTTTTCTAAAAAACTAAAAGAAGATGTCAAAGGTTAATCTATTTGGTCTTACTTTCTTTTTCTTTTTTCTTTTCTTCTTTTTTTCCCCCTGTGTGCTGGGAACTGAAGCCAAGACTGCTCACTGAACTACATCCCCAGTTATTGTTTTGTTTTAAAATACAGAGATAAGGTCTTGCCAATCAGCTAAATTGCTGAGGCTGGGCTCCAACTCATTAACTTCCTGCTCCAGATATCATTTTTATCATTTAATAGTACTAAGCAGTATTTTACCTTTAAATTTAGGGTTAACCCTCCACTTTCTTTTTATATATTCCACATATTTTCTTTGTTTCCCTCTGAGCCATTTAAAGCACTATTACTGTACATCTCTCACAAGAAATATTTCCACATATGGAATAATGAGAGACGATGCTATCATTAGTATACTCGTGGAATTTTAGATTCCACTAAGCATGATGAGAAACATCTTATAGTGGGCTATTCTTCCTTGATGACTGAATTCATACCAAATTTAGTCTGAGGCCCTTAGTAATCAGAACTTTTAGTTTAGATTACAACTTAGAAAACCAGGGACTGACAAAATTTGGATTTGTATTAAGAACATAATCTATGAAAATTCACATTTTTTGAGCATTATGACTTTGTTGTAAGATATAATTAGCTTTAATTAATCAAGTATAGAGCACATTGTCTCCTTAAATGGTCTTTCTTTTATCAAATGTTAATTAAACTAAATATTTCTAATGAAATTTAATACTGTTTATAATGTGTCACCCTGTTTTATTGCTACATGGTTTCATTGCTAAGATTAATAATACTGATAATAAAGGAAATAATATCTCTAGACTAGATTTGCAATGAACAAGCTAATATAAGTGGAAAAGAAAGAAACAGGAGGTGGAGAAAAAGAAAGGGAAGCAAAACTCTGCTAAATTTGGTTTTGAGTCTTTCAGAATTCTCAAAACTTTATCATTTATTCATTTCTTCTGGATTTTATTAGAAAATAAATAAATGTCTCACATTTTATTATATCAATCAGTACTTACTACTTTTTAAAGAAAAGAAAGGGTTCAAGTTACAGAACATTTATGCATTAAAACCTTTTTCAAAAGAATAAATTATATAGATACTTGATTATCTATAAAATAAATTTGCATTTGTATGAATCAGAAGACTTGGTACTCTTCCATGAACAGGAAAATAAAACTGACATAAAATACATTCTATAAATACTAAAATGCACGGTCTAAATGCTACATTACAAATAATTTATTTTTTCTATCAAAAATTTTATTATTTTTGAACTTGAGTGTTTTGTGTACCATTTGAAACAGCACTTAATTATCACTTAAAAAGGGCATAAAGATAATCATTTGTTATATTTAACATCTTTATTCCTCAATGTTTTTAAAAAATTGTGCTATTCGCAAAAAATTACAGTCCTTGACCTTTTAATGGCCATTTTTTTACATGAAAATTGGATGTTTAACATAAATTATCAAATATTTGTCCAAAGTGCAAGCATTATAAACATTTCAAGCCTAAATATATCTTGAATTATAAGGAATATTTTAATACTTATAGAAGCATTTTAAACAATTTGATATTCATATACTTTTAAATTGGATCACTACATTATCTTTTTCAAATTAATCTCCTATAGTTATCTCTTAATTTAAAAAAATCTTAACTGAGAAGTATACAACTCAAACTTTTGCTGGCTCCTATTTTCAGGCAGATGCTACACTGCTGAGCTGTTTTCTTGGCTGCCAGCTGCTATTTTCAAAACTCTTGAAAAATAAAATTTTGTTTTTAGTTTAATGAATATAGCTCAGTGCCTTAAATAATTATAAAGTAAAAGAGTTATAAATGTATGACATGCTTATTGATTTAAATAATTTGAATCATTTAATCTCATATCTACTTATATCACAAACTTAGGTATGTGATTTAAATTTGTTATTTTAGGGTTTCTGATGTTTGCAAACTTTAATATACTTTCAAATATGTAAGAGTTCAGGGTTCTTGAAGTACATAGAATGCTTTTTTAGTTCACTGTCGTATGATTTTTCTTGCTAAACATTACTTTCCATCAACATATACATATTTGCACATTACTTGACAGTAGAGAAGATCTGAGTCCTCTTTCTCTTTTACTAAGCAATTATTGAAATGCTTCCAGATATTAGGCAGCTAAAACATTATTTTTAATTAACATGTATTGTAATGAGTGCAGGATACATGGAATTTTAATGTATTAAAATATGTGCATGCAATCATTTTATCAAAATAATACTATGCTTTATAATTACATATATACTAATTATGCACACACACCCAAGTACACACATGTACATACACAAACACAAATGACATACAACACATGAGATTTTTTTATTTTGTTGAAATGAGTCAGGAGTTTGAGGCCAGCATGAATTGTGAGGACAACAAGAATGACTCTAATAATCAACAAGAAAAGAGTCAATTAATGAGAGTAATATCTATATATATTTATGAGAACTAAACAAAATAAATATAATATGCATAAATAAATTTTTTCACTTAATACATTTTAATATTCACTTACAGCTTATACACAATTTATTTGCATTTTCATAAAATGTTTCAAAATTATTGAGCCTTTCAGGTAGAAATCAAAGATGATAAATTTATAAAGAATAAAAATTGCTGTGCAGTATACTTGGAGAAAATGGCACTGGTGAACAAAATTATTTTCAATTAATGTAAACAGATTAAAGTTTGGATTAATGCAACTTATTCTATGCTTTACAGGAAATATCGATGAAGCTGAACGAGAGTGGAAAGCAGGATTCTATCGCTGGAACAATTACATGATGGACTGGAAAAATCAATTTAACGATTACACGAGCAAGAAACAAAGCTGTACTGGCCTCTAATTAATAGATTTGCCCTTTATATAGAATGTTCATTTTCCTGAAGATGAAGGTAAAAATATTAGTTGCTCTCTATGCACCTTCAAAGAAAGCTATTATATAGCTGTAACAAAAAATCCAGAAGGGTAATATTGATTCCACACATTTTTCATTTAGTATTTTATCTGAAATTTCAAAGCCCAAACAACTACAATATGTTTAATTAAATTAACAATATTAAGTTTGACAGTTAATTATATACATACTAAAATGATTTGCTGCTTCTATTTCTTTCCTGAATAATTTTAAATTTTTTCCTAAAATATATGTATTCTGTTTTCAGTCACATATGTATTTTCATTACCATTCATGTAAAGGTATGTTTTAACACTTGAAACATCGGGCCCTATACTCTACAATATTATTTCTTCTAACAAACATCAATTTAACATCAATGTATAATATTAAAATACACACAAGAAAAATAATCCCTTTTTATGTAAAGGCAAAAGACAATGTTAAAATAAGAGGCTCAGTCTCTAGGAAACATCTTATAATAAAAGCTACTGCTGACAGACACAATCAAGGACTTTCTGTGTAAATTGAAAAACAAACTTACTGGTTATCCAAGGTGGGAAAATTAGTTCCTAAGATTATTGTGTATAAGTAGGACTTGTCACATGAAGTAGGATACAGGTGTTTTAAACACATTAGTTTTGTTTTCCTAATTATTGATCTCACAAAGTATTTTTCAAGGGCCTTTAATGCTATGGAAAGTACCTGTGTCATGTATCAGGAGATTCCATATCAAAACAAGACTCAAGTTATTCAGATAAACATATTGGAAGCCTGAAAGAGGCCTTTGACACCATGACTGTAATGTAAAATGGAAAGCTTGACAATTTGTTCACCTTTTGAGTGGTTGTTCCTTGTTAGGAAGAGGGAAGAACTACAAAGCAAAATTGTCCATTTGTGAACAGCACTTATCAAAACTGACTTGGCTTTTATCACAACTATCTTTAAAGTACCATGAACTCTTGGGCTCTCTGAGTGATGATCACTTAAAAGTGTGTCTAGATGTAGAAGTCTAACTCAGGAACCTCAATACCAAGAGAGAAATGTGTGTGAAGTGACAGAAATCAGTGTATAACTTCTTAGAAATTTCCATTTCAACAGGCTCAGAAGTGGGAAAAAAAAAGGTTTGCCAGTTAAAATATTGACAATGTGCAAATATTAAAATCTCAAAACAGCATAAAGACCTCTCCAGAGGGCAAAGTATGAGGAAATAGAATTACGGCATAAATATGAAAAGCCATAGGAGCTATCATTTAATTTTGATAAAATGAGTTAGTACATGTCTCAAAGTTATAAGTAATCGTGTCCAAAGTTCCAACATAATGAGTGCAGTAAATCCAACTACTGTCAGGATATTAGCTCCATCAATTTTTAGCATACTGATGCATATTTGATGGTTTATTATTGAAAATATAAGGGTTAAATTAACAAATCATTTATCTTTAAAATACCATTATAACTAGCTGCAATTTTTCCAAAAATTAGCTGCTGAATATTACAAGCATAAAGAATAAAATTTTTAACAAAAAAATTTCTAGCTAATGTAAAATGAAATTTCATGCATATCTTCACGAAATTTCATCTATGACCATTTTAGCACAATACCCTAATAAAGAACTCTTTGTACATTAACGAAGAAGGTGACTCATGGAGTAGCCAGTTGCACTGTATACATAGTGAATTCAACAAAAATGTTTCCTTTATGAAAAGCTTGTTTTAAAATGAAGATGTTTATTGGGAATAAATTGAAGTTTTGGGGCTAAAGTTATATAAAATAAATATAAACTGGAACTACCATTTCTCAGCTTTCAGACTGTCAAAAAATAAAAGTCACTGGGTTTAGAAGTATGTACAGAAATACATACATGTATACTTAGATATGTTTGTATATGCAGGAGTCTATTACTGTCTAGCCCGGGATGAAACTGAAGAAATTCACTAAGTAGCTCCATGAATAAGAAAAGTACCAATAAACTCAATTAAAGCTGAAAAAAAATTTAAAAAATTAAAAATTAAAAAAAAATTTAGAAAAAGAAAAATCAGAGTAAAAGAAAAGAAATATATCACAGTTATACAATAATCTAATCTAAATATGCATTCTAATTAATGTGAAATCTATAAAATGTATTTTATAAATATGACACAGATTTGTTATACAGTGGCATTTTGGTATATGAACTTAATTCATTCCACAATTCTAGTCATGAACAAATTCAAATTTTCCCATAACATTCAATGTCACCTAGTGCAGAGTTCTTGAATTGAAGTAAAATTACACCAAAAGCTTCTGTTTGCTACCTGAATTGTTCTCCAACAGAAGTGTTTGTGAACTGAGGAACCACTGTAATTATAAAAATACATAATTAACTCCATATATATATTACAAGGTTCAGTTGCGATAAAACACAACAGTCATTTTGGATTATTAATATGTGCTGTTGTAGCTAGGAAAGAAGGTATAGGCCTTTGATCAGTATTTCCCAAACATTGCTACATATTAGAATCACCTCAGAAGATATTAAAAATTGCAATCTACTTGCCACTTCCTGAATTAATTAAATCACAAGGTGAAAGTAGGAGCTAAGTATTAGTATTTTTTAATGAACCCTAGTTATTTCCAATGTGCAACAAAATTTATGTACCAATGGCCCATTTTAGATAGTTAATTTAAAGAACCTAGGGAATGCTCACATTACTTTCGTAATGAAAAGCAGAAAATTATGAAACCTGAAATGTAATATGATAAAGAAACTTGTTACTGATATCAGGAAAGTAACTTTTTTCTCTGAACAAGGAACTGCATCAGACATTGCTGGATATTTAGAAGAAATTTGGGGCATTCACACTTTTTTCTGTGACCACTGCACTAGAAAGTTATATTTTCGTATTATTCTTTTTACCAGTATCTATATACTTTGGGTAGAGGTATGTCTGGGAAAAGAAAATATTAAATTAAATACGTATACAATATTTTGTGTTTTTTTGTTTATTTGTTTGTTTGTTTTTTGTACCAGGATCAAACTTGGGTCCTTGGGCTTGCTAGGCAGGCAGCAGAACCTCTGAGCTAAATTCCCGGCCTATATTTTGTGGCTTTTTATGTGACAGTTATTGTACAAGATGATGCTTTTTTATTGAACTACAATGGAATTTACTCACTTGACTATAACTAATAGTAATAATTAAGTAATTATAATTTTAATTTTAATTTTCTAATGTACTTTCTTTTAATGCATCAGTTATCCTCTGAACTCTCAAAAATATACACAATTCTTCTTGCCGATCTCATATAAGACAATGATAGGTTTATTTAACTAATTATTATTTATTTACCTACTGTTTGTTAGTAAGTTCTACGAATGTTTTTCATTTCTGAAATATTAGGCTTTTTTTGTGTAAGGCAATTATTGTATTGCCTTGTTGTCTTGAGAAATTTTCCAAAATCCTTTACTTGTTTTTTACTTATTTCACCAGTTCAGGGAGAAAACAAGCAAATAAAATAAAATTTATCAAAAACTATTTTGACAATAAATTGTGAACAGATATTTAACAATATTAAGTATTCTTAAAATAAGAATGAGTATCCTAAAATCATTAAAAATAATTATGCAATTATAATAATCTATGTATGTATGTATGTATCTATCTGTCTGTCTGTCTATCTATCATCTATTTAGAATAGCCATTCCTAAATTTAGCGAAAGGCAGAATATACAGTGGAATATTATTCATCTATCTAAACCAATCCATTACATAAGTTTCTCCACCATTACACTAAACTGTACATAGGTTTTTCTAATTATAATGTTTTGACTTTTCTGAGAGCAGTAATGTTAGAAAAGTCACAATTGTAGGGATTCATTTGACAATTTGATGGAGCAGCAGGGCTTGAGTTGTAAAAAATTATTGAATATCTACTTTTTAACAGATAAATTGCATGTCTGTGTTAGCCAAATTATAGTCATTTTTTCAATTTTACTATTTCATAAAATTTTCAGATTTTTTCTTTTTCTTTCTATATCAAATTTACATTTTTAGGGTTATATGGTTTTCTTATTAATATGGCTCTAAACAAATTGATTCTGCTTATCAAGTTTTCTTTTTATTTCTTCTCTTTCCCCACCCCTACACACACACACACACACACACACACACACACAGGAGTAGCTAAAGGTCTTTGGGTGATAGTCTAGAAAACATCGATGTTTTACAAAGTTACACTTACATCTGTGATGCAAATTTTCATTACATTTTTAGGCCTTTCCAGTTTCCAGAAAATAACATTATTCAGTAGAATGACTTGCCATGTGGACTATATGGCTTCAACTTCAAGGATCCTCACCATCTTTGTCACCCTCTCATCACTGAGACACAATGCCTAACAGCCAGAATTTAAAAGAGGAGAGGTTTACTCTGGCTTTCCTTGGCAGATATTTCACGTTTCTAGTTTAGTAGTCTCTGCTGCACTTTCGGCTTCACCCTCCCAATTCCATGCACTACCCTCAGAAGCACACTGCCTGGCCTCCTAGACCTTCTTCTGAAATGAATGTGGAAGTACCTACTACCTCATAACTCTTGCATTCTGCATGCCTGTAAAACCAACACCATATGGATGATACCAAGGTCTGCTGCCTGTTTGAGTAGTAGCCAAGCCCCCTTGGATCATGGATACAAAAGCCTCTAGGTCAGAAGCCTATATCTCTCAGCACTGTGAACTGAATCTTAAGAAACTAATATCTTAGATGTCCTTTATTGAACATGACACCCTGGGCCTTTCTTCTTAAAGCAAAGTCTTTCCAAGCAGTTTACTATTATCTTTTTACACATTTGAATTTGTAAATAGCTGGTTCCTGGAGATTCCTGCCTGATATGCTCTCAAGGCATCTTTTTTTATTGTCCTGAAGCTAAGTTCTTGGCTTCTTTTTCATGCTAAACTTTTCAGCAGCCAAGATCTCCAAAGCCCTCATTTTGCAAAGTGCTTCCTTTCTGAGAATTTTTAAATCTTTTAAGCCTGCTATTTGCTCCTGATTCTCACTGTAGACCTTGACGAAAACAGTGGGCAGGATGCATGCTACACCCTATACTGAGGGCTGTCCTGTTAATATCTTCTGTTGGATTAATTAGTTAATGGTTTTTAGTCTTAGTCTCAGGAAAAATCAGGACATAGGCGAAATGTAGGCAAATTTTTTTGGCAGTACATAACACACATAGATTTGAATCCAAATGTAAATGGAATTTTTTCTTTTTTCTAGTGGGAACCTAAGCCTGTCCTTTACTGTTTGCATTTGTATCAGCATTCTGTCTTTCTGAGCTCTGACTAGAATTTCCCATTAAGCTTAGGTTATGGCATTCTAGAGCTTCTCTAGGTGGCATCTTCATACCTTTTCAAACTCCTCTGTGTACCACTTGCAAAGGTTTCTCAACTATGTGGTCAGGCATGGCCATGGCAATGGCCCCAATCCTGGTACTAAAATTTGTCTTAGTCACTTCCTTTTTGCTGAGACATCATACTCAATTCCTATCACTTAAAGAAGAGAAGTTTTCTTTAGTTCACATTTTTAGTCCATGAGCTGCTGGCTTCAAGGCAGAAACAGCATGTAGGAAGGACCTGCCACAGAAGAAATCTGCCCATGTCATGGTGGCCAGGAAGCAGAGAGAAATGTTAAGAGGCAAATCAGAACCCATTTCCTAAAAACAAAACAGCTATGAAATCATCAGTGAACTGACCCAATAATAGGTACAGCGTCTCCATGATCTAGTCATCTTCTAAACACATGAGGATTTAGAGCTTTCCCCAGATCTAAAGCATAACACTCACAAAGACCATTTTAACATTGAATATAATTTTGTGTTTGTAATTTTACATTATTTCTCTTAAAGATGCTCCCCCAAATGATATTAGTTGCAATGCATATGAAACTTGGTTTTGCTACTTTTTACTATGTCACCATGAATGAGCCATTAGTCTACAGCTCTAGGCATAAAATAACATTTTTAGTTTCAGAAGATGCTCCCTTTATCAGTGTTCCTAATGATGTCTTCTTGTTTTTTTTAAACTGGATTTTATTGTCTTTGTTTTATAACATTATAATATGATAATTTGGAATTTACTATCTTTGTGTAAGGAAATAAGTGAATGAAATCTCAAATGCTAACATCTATAGTGGCATTTCAATTTAATATCAAATGTATGCAGAATATTCTCTTCTGTAAGTGAATTACCATTTTCATATAACCATGAAAGATAAAATTTTAATAATATCCCTTGGAGTTTTCTCTTTGAAGACATGTACAAAATATTAAGTGAGAATTCTAACAGAAGTATTGGCCTGTCTTCATATTTCTAAGGATTTCAAAGACAGGAGGTAAGTATAATGTCATCACTATCAGTTGAACTGGTGTAATATCCACTTAGAAAGGCACCATTAACTTATCTTTATGTAGATTGAACGCTGATGCCACA